CTGGGGAGGATGCGCGCTCGGCGTCGGCGGCCGCCCGGGAGCGGCCAACTTTAAAGAGTCTTAGCGGGGAAGGTCGGCGCTGTGGTGTAGGGGCAGGTTAGTGCGCCCTTCCGCTCCAGAATTTTCCAAAGCGGACGGGCCGCTGGGCTCGGCTGCGGCTTTCCGCATTCCGACCCTCCTCCCTCGCTCCCTCGCTCCCTCCCTCGGTGACTCCGCGGCGACTCCGCGGCTGGCCCGGCCCACAGCTGGCCCTCCGCGCGCCGTCCGCACCCTTCCCGTCCACCTCTACCCGCCTCCACCGGCTCTCGCCACCCGACACGGTTTTATCCAGCTGCTGATTGAGAACAGACGTGTTTTTTCACTTCGTGTCAGACCTTTCAAGACCCACTCCCTTTAACGGAAATTCTTACCTCCAGCGCCTCTCATCCACCGAACTTGAGAACGAGTTTTTGCATAACTTGAACTATAGGTTAAAGAAGCATGTTTGTTTTTGAAACGTTCCCGGTGTGTAAGGTTACCACCGGTGCCCTGTGTAACCTGCCTCGTACAAAGCGTGCATTTCCTACCTGTTTGGCACAGTGTGCTGTGATCTGACCTTGGGTATATCTACAGGTCCGCATACCCCAAAGAGGCGGTTAGGGTGAACCAGTCTTATTTTGGCGTCTGGTTAGCATTGACCTTGTCTTCGGTTATTTAGTTTGGGGAAAAAGCCTTTGCTATTGTGTTAATGTGACAACCTGACATTTAAATGCTATTTCAGGTTTCTCCTGGTTTTTAAAATCCCAAGTGGGTTGGCTTCTTCCTGGTACAGGTCAGCTTATATGTGCAACACTTCTTGTAATTAAAAGAAGAAACGAGAGTAGAGTATAAGTCACTCACTCTGTTCAAAGAAGCAGCCATTTTCCAGGATGATTTGCTTCTGTACTCATCAGGCTAGCCTTCTTCCAGAAATGTTTTGTGGAGTAAGATGGTCTCCCATTTACCTACTTCCTTAAGTAGAAATGTCAGAAACCTAACTTAGTTGTGTTCTCCTCAGGAGGGAAGGGAAATTCCCTTGAGTCTTGGTGTGGGATTCCCCTCCCTATCCTGTGAATGCTGTTTGGAATTCATTTCTCTCATCTCCAGATTCTTAACCTTGTCCACTGGTATTTATCGTTAGTCAGTGTGCCTTTATAGATTGGGGTGGCCCAGGAAAGAAAAAAAATGGTGGTTGAAACTCTTAAGTGTTAAGTAGGAGTACTTAAGTCCTAGTCTCCAAAGAAAATGAGATGAAGTCCTCAGACTAAAGTACTCCGAGGACTTGATTATGAAAACCTTAGCCCCTTCAATAACTCTCCAGCATGATGCCTGCATCCTATACTTAATTCAGTTCTTTAGGAGGCTTCTGATGGGGTCATTAAAGCCACCTTAAGTGACTTAGTTTTAGAGTTCTCAGTTTGTCTGGGACTTTAAATTTTAGATGAGTCGCAAAATGTGGTCAATTCTATTTCATTTTGTGCATCTTTTTGTCCATGATTCTGTGCTAGATGTGTGTTTTTTCCAGTGATATTTTTAAGCTACCACAAGTTTACAGTTAAACCTTTGTTTAAATACAGTTGATAGAAATTGTCGCAAATGCTTTACAAATTCTCCCATGTGTAGGGTGATTGCCAACCCAGGACAATTTTGAGAGTAAAAGAGAGCACTAATCGTTATGCCAGGATTATAGGGTTTCAGCCTCCTGGATGGTGATTATTACAGTGCCATAGGGGCTAACAGCTTGTAAGTTTTAGAACTTTTGTCCTTTTTCCCCACTCCTTGGAATTCTCATCAGTTTCACACTAATGGTTACTTGGCTGGATTTCAGGGCATTGAGATCTGAGTTTAAATGTCACCTCCTCAGAGACACCTTACTGTAGGTCAGTATCTTTAACAAACCACTTTTTTTTCTTTAGAGCACCTTGTCTTTTTTTCTCTGAACTGTCAGCTCCATAACAGCAGGGACCTGGTTGCTTTTATGGATTCTCAGTGCATAGAAGTATATTTGGCACATAGTGGTGCTTGAGAAGTTTGTGAAAGGGAGTTAAGTTGGAGCTTACTACACTTTAGGCAGAAAATTAGCAGATACTTAACTGTATTTTTACTGCTGTTTTATGTGAGTGAAATCAAGTTATATAAGATTGTGAAAAATAATACATTAGCTGTATGCCTACCTTCTTTTTTGGAAGAAGCATAGAGGCCATTTATCATACATAGTACTTGGTATCAGGTATTTTAAAACTACTACACAGTTGCTAACCCTATGGAACTCATTAACCTGGACCATTGTGTAAGCCAAACAAACAAATAGATTGAGAGCAGAGTTTAGATTTATCTCCAGATGGATTCTTTTATCAGGTTAATGTCGGGGGTACAGCAATCTGCACACTTTTTTGGTATAGGGTACCTCCTTTTCAAAGGCCAAATACCCTAGCTGGACCGTACAGCTGCTCTCACCCTCCTTGAGGATAGTTAAAACTGAGAATAAATGATTATTTTTCTCATCTTCCTAAACCTCAGTTTAAGACTTAGGTTATTTTATTCATTTGGGGCGTCTTCTGGTCATTCATGTTCTACACCTGAACCATTCAGTTCATTGTTTTTGTATCCTGCATCACCTTACCAGAATATATCATATACAAATAGTAGATGTATAAATGATACAGGATATAAACAAAGTAAACTGTAAAGCCATAGAAGTTCCTTAAATCCTGTTTGGGTGGCATTGCATACACATATGAAAATTATTAAATCACATTTAAGGCAAATATACACTTTCTTAAAGGCAGGCTGCCCAGTGAAGTTAAAATTAACTGAAGTTTGCTATCAGCTTTCCAGTCACCTGTCACTGAGCAGAAAACTCACTGTCCAGTTTTGTAACATTAAACAGCTGATGATACATAATACCAAAACAATGGACTGAATGGTTTAGATTTAGAACATTATGTTCATTCACAGTAGTAGCATTTTTCCAATATTACTGCTTTCAACATTAAGTAATAGTTTGCTAGAATTTTAATGCTTTTTGCTTAACCTCTAATACCATGTGTACTGCTTCGGGTACTGCTTTTTCATAGAAAGCAAGATGTTGCTTACCCTCAAGGTTGTACTTGAACAACCTGCTTAATAATAAACTAGCGAGGTGTGCTGTACTTTGCAGATAAACGAAATTGTACTGTTTGTGCTGAATCATTTGATGCTTCTAATAAGCAAAACATAGTCTTATTTACATGCAGTGCTTTAAGTGTTCAGTATGACTGTTGTTCTTCAGTTAGTATGTATCTTTTGAGCTAAGAGAAGTGTTTATTGCAGGTATTTTGAAAGATTTGAGAAAATTTTTCCTTAAAACATTCTTATCACCTCCCATCCCCTCCCCCTTTGTGTATAGGTTTCCCAGGCAGCTGCAGATTTGAAACAATTCTGTCTGCAGAATGCTCAACATGACCCCCTGCTGACTGGAGTATCTTCAAGTACCAATCCCTTCAGACCCCAGAAAGTCTGTTCCTTTTTGTAGTGAAATGAATCTTTGAAGGTAAGTTTCCTTAGAGTAAACCAACAAAACTGTACTTAGCAAGAATAACCAGTTAAGTCTTCTTTGCCACTATACACTTATGTTTGGCACTGCAAATTTCCATTCTTGTTTTGTGAGGAAAATAAGGATTGATGAAATTTACTGATTTAGTAGTCATGAAGACTAATTGTTTCTATTTTACCATAAAGAGGGTTAAATAGATGATTTAATAACCACACAAGAGGATATAGGAGAGTTACTAGAAAATTCCACTCCTGTAACAATCCATGCTACTTTTTATATCATTGGCCTAATGGTATATTTTGAGGTCCCTAAATACTAGTTTAATTTTTGTGTACATAGCAAATACTTAGTTTTCAAAGAATCTGCAGTGTTTATAGGATGACTTTTAAAGTACTACTAGTTGATTTGGATTGATTCTGATGCTTTTGCTCTAATAGAGTTCAGGTATATTCTATTCATAGCAAAGAATTGCGAGTTGTGAATACAAGAGAAAAATGAGACAGTTGAATAAGCTGACTTCTAAATTTTAATCTGTGCCTTCCAAATCAAATGTCAGTGTATGTGAAAACATGTTAGTCCAAAAGAGATGTGACCAAAATATGCTGTGGATAATTTAAAATGTAACCCAAAGGTGCTACCTTTTATAAAGCCATGGTACTTTAGTCACTAATAGGGACCTATGAGAAGCAACCTTAAATTGATAGTGCTTAAAAAACATACACACACCAAAAAAAACCCAGAACAGACTTTGTATGGCATACACCTTTTACAAACGTTCTAACTCCTCAAAGTCCAGGAAACTGTTTCCCAAAATACCATGTTGCATAGTTGTACCCTCCCTAATTAAGTTCTGTAGACTTGGGAGTATCCAGGAAGTCTGTATAAGTACATGTTTCCAGTAAATACAATGATTGGTTAAGTTGGTTAAGATTTTTGAAAAAACGCAATCAAGGAAAAAGCACCTTTGAATGACAGGTTTCCCATACGGAAGTAATTCTTTATAACAGCCTAGATCCTATTTAAGTTTTAATAGTTCCTTGCTTCTGGCAGTATTAATTGTTCATGGCAGTTTTCGGAAATTACATATTTTATGGTTTATTAAAGATCTTTTTAAAACTTGTTCCAGTTGTATTCACTTTACAAAATGGCTGATTTTCATTTGATATAAAATACTGTTAAGAAGTCTGGCTCTTAACTGGCTGTTAACAGTCACATTTCACAGGAGTTTACAGGTAAGTGTTTAAATATTGCTGAGATAATAACCCAGGTTTCAAAGTAAAATAATGGTTATTAATCCTGGCAGTACAATAAAACAGCTTTGCTGACATTAAGATTTAGAACATTTAAATATTATTATGTAAAAGCATTTCTTCTCACATTTGATATATCTACAAATCAGCTTGTTAAAATACAAATTCTAATGTAGTGGGTCCAGAGTGAGGCCCTACAATCTGCATTTCTTACAAGCTCCCAGGTTATACTAATGCTGGTGGTCCTAGGCCCACAGTGAGTGACATGAGTACAAAGAATCTACAGTTGAATGTTTATTATACCCATAGCTTTTTAAAATATATGGTTTTTATAATTAAAATAAAAAACAGCATAGGTAATTTATCAACAGCTAGTACAAGGAAAATACAAATTACTATGATTGGTATATCTAGAAATAACCATTGTTAGATACTTCTTTTTACAAGAAAAAAATTATTGTTTAAAAATGAGGATCAGCCCTGGCTGGGTAGTTCAGTTGGTTAGAGCATTGTCCCAATACAACAAAGGTAATAGGTTCAATTCCCAGTCAGGGCACATACAAGAATCAACCAATGAATGTATAAATAAGTAGAATAACAAATTGATGTTTCTCTCCTCCCCCTCTAAAATCAATCAATAAATGAGGTTCATAGTATTAGTTTTTTATCTGCTTTTTAAAAACACGAGTTTTCTTAATTCATTAAATATTTGTAAATAAGATGTTCAATAGTTGTACTGTAACTTAATTATATTTCACTGAATATTGAAGTTTCCAAATTTGAAGCTACACTGAAGGGAATATTTTGGTACCTATATATTTATATATACTTTATCTCTCTAATTTCTTTAAGGTACATTTCTAGAAGTAAAATTACTCAATAAGGAATGACATTTAAATTTTATTAACACTACTAGTCTTTTTGTTAAACTTTGCTGTTCCATCTGGAGCTTGATGCTGAGCCCTCGCCAGCCTATTTGCTTCTATTTTCTGCCTGTCTTATTTTTTGTGATTTGCACTGATTCAGATGTTAAGTGGAGCTGAACATTTTGTTTTTGCACTATTGATTCCGTTTATGCCTCTTGAACACTTTTGTTATGGAATATCTCAGATTTTCAAATAAGTATACAGATGAACCTTGTGTCTGTCATCCTAAAGTAAATAATTTACCTTGTTAATTTTCAAAAGATATACTTTTCCTACCTTTCCACATAGATAACATCTTGAAGTTGTTATGCCCATGTTTTTACTTTTAACTATATATATTTCTTGGTTTATCTCCATATAGATTGTTTAGTCATTTAATTGACTGTGTATGAACAGTCGTGTATGAACCTTACATCCATTCCCGTTGAGTTGCTTTTAGGCTATTTCCAGTTCTTTGCTGTTAAAATACTGCAATAGGCAGTATACATGTACACGTTTCTGTGTATAGGTTTATTTAGGTAAATAGAGAGGTGTGATTACATCTTCTACCTTAGTAGATATTACCAAACTGCTCTCCCCAATACTATTGCTCATTTTAAATTAAGATAGAGTGTATTTTGGCAGTGATCTTGGCAACTTAATCTTTAAATCTTTATTTATAAACCATAAATAATATATACTTGAGTGGTTTTGAAAATTAAGAGAAAGTTATGTTTTACACCATAGTCATTTCCCATCCTATTTTTCATTTTTTCCCCCAGAAACCCTGTGATGTGTCTTTTTTTTTTTTTTTTAAACTAGGTGTAGTTTAATTTAAAGTACTTTATAAACTGACATTTAGATGAATGCAGTAAAATATAAAATGTACTGCTATTCAGAAAAAACTGTTGTTCTTTAACATTTTACCCTAATTCACTTTTTTTTCCCATTTCAGGTGTTCTAAACCACTTTTCTTGAACTGGTGAATATTCAAAGAGAGCTGAAATTGAAGCCTGTACAAAAAGCTTACCCTATAACATGTGCCACACTATACAGACTTCTGCTTTTGTCAGTCCTTAACATCTACCTCTCTGAATTTTCATGAATTTCTATTTCACAAGGATGATTATTTTATATACACTGGCAGCAGCAAATGAATAAAATACTTAGTATAAAAAGGTTTTTTGTTTAATTATTGGTAATGCACTGTATATTAATTTATTTTGAACACTTAAGATAAATGGCAATTTTCCCATTGTCATTATGGGTTAAGTTTTAGAGTTTGTTGCACCAACTTCTCTCACATAACTTTATGCCATACATTTGCAAGACTGCTAGAAAAGTAAAGTGGCAAACTTCTTTTATGGGTCAGAAGGACCCCTAAACTGCTAATACTACAGTTTCTATTCATGAGTTTATTTAGAGTTAACTTTTTAAAAATATATATATATATTTTATTGATTTCAGAGAGAAGGAGAGGGAGAGAAAGAACATCAATGATGAGTCATTGATCGCCTGCCTCCTGCACACCCCCTGATGGGGATCAAGCCTGTAACCCAGGCATATGCCCTGACAGGGAATCAATCCCTGATCTGGATCATAAGTCAAAGCTCAACTGCTGAGCCACGCCAGCTGGGCTCACTTTGTTTTTATAATAAATATTCCTAATGAACTCCTTTGTTAGGGGTATTACCATTACACCTAAGTTACTTACTTATCTCCTATTAAAGATAGTAGAGAAAAAACTGGATGGAAGAATTCCATTTGAAGACATAAAAACTTCAGAGCTTGAGACAACTCATGAGCGAAGTACTACAGGGTAATGATGTATAATGTAGCAAGAAAAAAAGGAACCAAAGGTTGGCTTCAGTAATTTGCAACTTTGCTTTAAGTCCTTGGTAAACCACTTTGCTTAAACGTTTTTTTTCTCTTGAAAGGTTTAAGGGAATGTTAAGACATCCCAAACACCCTGGCCTCCATTCATTCAGAAAACTAAGTTAAAAACTATGTGCCAGATTCAAGATAAGTCTGATGGAAAACCAGTGAGTTGTTTACATAGTAATCTACCAAGCACTGTATTTTTCTCTAGCCCAAGTGTTCCAAGAAAGTGCATATGGGAAAGTTAGATTGAGTCTTGATTCCAACTTAAATTGCTCAGTTACCAAAAATAAAAATTAAATTTCAAGAAACCTAAATTACAACTTAAAACTCTCACCAAAATGACTTTTTATTTATATTTCCTACAGAAACAGGAGTAATTTATGGCACTTGGTAGTTTGTCCAGACATGAAAAAAGGTGTATGAAATCAGTAAATGCCATTTTGAAGATTCTTCTGTCACAAATTCAAGATAGGCCCGTTCAGCAAAATCCAATACTATTCCTTTAGTACTTTATAAATGGAATTTTCTTCTACTTGTATCCATTTCCCGAGGCTGAAAGTTAGGGGGTAAACAAGGTTAGTAAACAATCTATGTATGGGTAACAATGCTTAAAAAAATTGTCTCTGAAGTATCAGTCTTTAGATCTAATATAAAAGGTGTTGGAAGTTAACCGTTCCAATAGATGTGTGTAAAATACATAAAATTTTAAAAAAATCACACAAGTGAAATACTACCTACTAGACAGAAAAGATTGTTTTAAAATAACGATGTTTTCATTTACGATTTTTTATGATGATTTCCAAATGTCTACAAAACCTCTGTATAGCAATAGTTCTCAAGCGCGCACCAGAATCAGGGTAACACAGGCTTATAATCCATCCTAAAGATCAGTGACCAGAGCATCACCTACAAACTTTGTTAAGAAAAACTACTGGGCCATAGATCTACTGCATTGGACCCAGCAATCTATAAGCCTGTGTTACCCTGATTCTGGTGCGCGCTTGAGAGAATGGTTCTTTTAGCTCATGAGGAAAGCATAACTTAGGTATAAAAACCCAAAGCTTAAAAAGTACACAATTTCTTTCTCATTCCATAATTAAAATCACCTAAATGGCTTTTCAAGCATAAGCACATACCTTATGGACCCATTCATATTCTCCATATTTAGAATCAAAGGTTCCTTTCTGAAGAGATCTTAATTTTAAGGTAAAACGTGGTCCAAGTTCCTGAATTCCCACTTTCTTTTCACTCCTGAATATGTATCTTCAAAGGTAAAGAAAAAAGTTGAGGAAATTAGTCAGTATTAACCCAACTGTTAGTTGTTTAACATGACAGGGTTCAAAGAACAATTTCTCCTGTATAATACCTATCATAATACATTAGAAAACAGGTTTAAGTTGAAAATGTATTTCATGCTTAAAAGTCAAAGTCCAAGAAGTTCAGGTACCTTCCTCACCTGTGAAATCTGAAGAAGATATAATCCCTCTGATTGTGGAATGTGGCAACCTGCCTTCCAATAAACTGAGGATTATGGGGGAAGAGAGATGCAAACATCCGTCCAACAGAATGACCCAGCCGTGTTGTAAAATTATTCAAAATTATTTCAGGTGTGTGTTCTGTGGGGTCCTTGCCTCTTCTCTAGAAAAATGGTGTAAAATCACAAGTTTAGTGACAAAACTGTATCATTGCAATTTTAAGTTTTATAAGTTATATGACAAATATGAAAAGTTTATCTCAATGACAACCACAATGGCTTACCAAACCCATGAAGTAAGATGTATCTAAAAGTATTTTATATGCTGTGAATGCCATGAAGAAAGTTCTAGAAAAGTAATGTTTCATAGTAATGAAGGCTATTGCCTGTCTGCCATAACTCAACTGTGCCAATTTCACAAGAAAATTGTCATTAGATAAAACTATTGCTTTAATCAGGAGAGCAAATGCCTTTACTAAAATCAATCAGCTCTATTAGTTACAGTCTACTTAAGCAAATACTATGAGGAGACCAATATCAATCAAAAAATGCCTAAAACTTACCTTAATTTCTTTACGGAGACGAACACTGCTCATTTTAAAATGAGCAGTTGGTCCATTTGGCAAGTGACTCAGAATTAATCCATCTGTTCATAAAGCTAAGAACATAATCTTGAATTGTTTAAATAAGTAATTGGTGCTCTATGCCCAAAGACTCCTAAAGTCTATAGTGAGGTAAGTAGGTGGGTGCACGTATTCCTCTGGGTTAACAGAGATTTTCTTAACCTCAAACACAAGACACGTAAATCAACATAAATCTTCCAGAAAAATGGATTAACCCATTATCCTACCTTTTCTCTTTTCACAATATGAAAAACAGCTTATTGTCACTTTCAACAAGGTGACTGAGCATTCAACTACAGTAGGTGAAATAATTATTTAATGTCCATTACTCTAACAGGAATAAGACAACAATAGATTCTAGAGTAACTATAGCATTGTAAATACAGTATAAGTTTACCTCCATGTTACAGGCCTTATAACCCTAAAAACGCACACTTTTATATGTTTATATACATATTTTATATCTGTAAGGTTAGGATATGCTATCAGCTTTGAATATCCCACAAGACCAGAGACTCCTAAACTCTCTTCTTGGTAGAGACAGCTCTTATTCTTGGCATTATTATACCACAAATTAAAATCAACTAACAATTTACTGATTGTCTGCCATAAACAGAATAACAGTGCCAGAGACTCTAAACTACAAATGAAATAAGACACCTACCTACCCAGCAGTGTTACGCCAAGGGCTTTAAAAGTCCAAGACGCAGCAAACTAAGATTACTACCTATACAGTATTCCACAAGCCTTTATAGCACAATGAACCCTAAAAGATCAGAATCAGGCCCTTTTCAAATATTTGCACATACTAGTTTAACAAAACGTCATCTTTTTTTAAAGGGATCAACACTCCTAATAATCCAGAGTAGAAGTTATGGTTATCTTCAATTTCCTCCTCTCCCACCAAGTCCTACTGTTTTACATAAGTCCCTCACTTCTACATCTGCTCTCCCTTACTGTTATTGTCTTAGTTGATGTCCTTGAGATTTCCCACCTAGATTATTAAAACAATATCCTGGCAGGTCTGACCTCTCCACCATTTCAAGTACATCTAATACGACTATAAATCAAGTCTGGATGTAGGCCTTGGTTATAAAACCAAGTAACAAGCTATGGGACTTAGCTTGTCACTGTATCTGTACCAGTTCCTCAGATGCTAGGTGAAAACAAAGAACAAAAAAACTAGATACCTTGACTCTTGACAGCTAACGCTAATTTTAAGCCACTCTCACCAGACTTATCTACAGAATAAAACAGTATGACATTCATAATGCAGCTCCAAACTACCTTTCTAACCTTCCTCCTCATGGTGTCTCCTAAATGGTAGGTAACGGTACTCTCTCTTACATACCATACACATTAATCTCAGGTTTGTTTTTCACTCAAGCTATTTCAAATACCTGCAATAATTTACTCATCCATTAAGGCCCACTTCAAATACCACCTTATTTCTCATATTCAAAATTAAACTCTAAATCTCAGTTCTCATTGTTACAGTTCTGCTATTTGAGTTACAGCCACATAAATGCCTTTCTTCCCGTCTCATGGCCAGCTTGTGAAAGATCTGTTTCTGACAGATACTAGTGCCTATCACATAGTAGATTATCAGGAAATGTTTGAATTCTTCTCAAAGATTCGTCACAGGTTCAACTTCACGATGCATAGCCAAAAGTACTTATGTATCATTTGCACACTGAAAAAATTAATCAAATCTTAAGGGGCTTAAGACAGGTAACAGTCATTTCCTACAACCTAAATCAAGGCTTGAATCCCTTCTAGAATAGCCCTACTAAATGTGGTCTGTGTCAGAAGCAAACTACAAAATCCGAACTTATTAATTCCTAAATACCTGCACTGTACAAAAGAGTTTATGTTACTGCTAATCTCTAACACAAACCATGCAAAATAGGAGCTCTTCCTTAAAAAAACAAAGGATACTTGGTGTTTTACGATCTTCATTAATAACGATCAGATCTGTGAAATCTCTTGAGATGCACTGTGGAATAATTTTTTTCAGAGCCAGTCCTCTTCTGTAATAAACATGTGAGTTTGGTATAACTGTGGAGAGCTGTTCACAGAGTCGTACTGTTCTCTATAAAACAAAATAACAAAAATCCTCAAAAGTGAAAATAAAAACCTTACACCATATATATTTATCAGAAAAGGTATATTGATTATTATAAGATAATGTCATAATAGA